CTCCTTCACTCTTTGCAATGGACGCTTCTCTTTTCCCGACTCTTCTTCACTGCCTCACAAGGTGATAGCTGATTCTGCACTCTTACAGGGAATTGGGCCCCGGGCTCTGCTAACTCTCTTATTCTCTCTCACAGTGTAGGCAGAAGGAGCTTGGATCATGTAGACATTTATAGCAATAATTTTTGCCCTGGGGTGGGGGGAACTGGGCATGTCTATCCCCCTCCTCCTTAGGTACCAATTATGAACCAAAATTTAACTCCATGAATGTTCCTGCTGAAAAACCAGTGTTCTTGGCTCACTTGTAGAGCACTGGTGAGGAGTTACTGAAATGAGTGTGGATGATCTCAAAGCAGCCTCACTGGAAAGCTGCACCCAGAAGGAAGATGTTCACCCACAGCAGCACTGAGGAGTCCCCTTCCCTAGTCCTTCCCCAGCTATATACTCCAGCTCCTCCCTGAGGCCATGTGGAATTAGGGCAGAATTACACAGAGGTGACTACTGGGAGGAGAGGCTGAAAGCTAGAGTGAGGCCCAGCACCTTCCCCATCCTTCCTTTGTGATGGAATTTCAACAGTCAACAAGCACAGTTGTAATAATGTTTGCAAGCAGGCACAGCTAGACCCATGAAGATGGCAGCAGTTTGGAGGACAGTCCTACACAACACCTGATCCTCTTCTTCCAGACCTTACATTCTATCGGCCACCCCTCTTTCACAAGAGTCCTTAACTCTAGGAAGGAGTGGCATAGTTGTTTGACTATTCTTCTCCATCTCTAGCAGTGTACAGGACTCATTTGCCACCCGCCCCATGAACTCCTCCATCTCCAGAAGGTATTTGCTCGTGAGTCTCAGGATTACTCGCCTACTAAATAACCTAAGTGAGGAGATGCGCGGAAATGGAAAAATACTGAAAAGTGCACTGTCAGCAATAACAACCTGTGGTTGTAAACAAAAATATTGGGAAGTATTTAACAAAGCAATAGCTGCTATGTCTCCACTGTGGCCCTTGGCTTCCCTGGCCATGGAGTTTATCTAAGTTTCCAGTATCAGATGTGAGCTGCTCCCTGTAGAGCAGGCCTTACCTCCCATCAGATAGCGGTTTCTAAACACTTTTGTCACTATTGTCCTAGCTGACACATTTTTCCTGACACTTCCAGCATGACGCATGAAGATCCAAAGTTGAGTGGGATTTGTGGCCTTAATTCACCCCAGCACCTTTAGAAGCACCTTCTGAATCTCTAAGAGCTGGCACACAGGGAGGGAGCACTCCCATCTCAGGCCTCCCCTTATTTCTCCAGGTCCTGCTACCATTTTATTCAATGTCTTCAGCAATGGAGTCATACCACCTGGCTCCACACTGCAGCCAACAGCAATGGCAACATCCTTTCAGCTCTTAGGAGATTCTAGGGCCTCTGCAGCCAACAACTATTAGAGAGACAACCCAGTTCTAGCCCTGGGATTCTCCCCATCAACAACTTCGTAGAAACACCCATTTTAACTCTTACAACACACCTTTGGTTAGTCTTTAACATTTACAGACACAGACTGTGGCAAATGTCTCCCAGTCAGCTTGTGAGTATCATCTGTGCCTTACCCAACCACAGAGCTCCCAAGAACTTTAGAGGGGCACCTGGCACTCACATCCTTTGCAAATAGTTTTCCCATCCTTGTTCACTCAGATGGACTCACATGCCTTCCAAATGGGCTTCCAGATCTTCAGAATGCTCAAAAGTTAGTATTATGACTGAATATAAAAGAAACCTTTTCACCGGGGATTGGCAGGAAAATGGCACAAAGTCCTGAACCACCCGGTTATGAACCCCATAACCAAGGCAGAGCTAGCCTTGGGGATGAATTTGAATGTCCATCGCTATCTCTTCGAAGAAAGTGTCGGGTAATGGCAGAGTTTCAGAAATACAATGATACTAAAGTAAACCAAGGTCTATAATTAGCAAGGTCTGTTCCATCTCTTGGTTTCAGTGGTCTAGCTGTCTTATCCTAGGCTACTGTCATGGGGTCTCCATGAATTTTCCACCTCTGTGGGTCTGTGTCATACTGCTTATTCTAGGGTGCATGGGGGAATCGCTGCCATTTTCCTTGGCTATGCCTGTAAATCCTTCCTGTTTGACTGTACCCTCAAGTGAATGAGGGTTACATCCACCTGCCAATCATGTTCTACACATCAGGCAATGCTGCTCCCACCCAGAAACTGGAGCTGATGTCCCCTTGGTGTTGAAAAAAAGTCCCTGGCTAAGGGAACTGTCTTCATACCTAAGAGAGAAATGTACAGCCCGTATTAGGAGACAGCTGCCCTCCCCTAGGTCAAGCTTGATCTTCCCCTGCACTATCTCTACGTCCACCAGCTTAAGCTCATTGTCTTTGATGATTTGGGGCCGCAAGGAACGAAGGCACACCTGAACCAAGTGTCCACACATGCCTGAATATTTTGAGAAGTAGTAATTTCTGCTTTTTAATGTGGGGAGTTTAGTTACTTTGCATGGTCCCCACTTGCAAGTATCCCTGACTGCCTCAGTATAGCAACAGCTATTGGGACTTCCACCCAAGTTCTCCTCTGACAGCCAGGACAGTGAGACTCATCACCGCCTCTGCAGCTCGGTCCCTCTTCTGATGTCTCTACTGGACTGACCTCCTTGTCGGCCCTCTGGTTAACACAGTCCTGTATTGACTCCTGGTGAGATATCGTGTACAATCTCCTCAGTTCTCTCCCTATTGTCATTACCATCAGTCTCCTTCTGCACATCTAACAATTCGCCAGAGGGGCTTCGTACCAGAAATCCAAATGGAATTCTCTCTACCCTCTGGCCCTCCTAGCTACAGGACGTGGCAAGTCATTGCCTCCATCTCTCCTCAGGGTTACTCAATGTTTTTGCCAACTCTGAGAGTAATGAAGTGTCAGGCATGGGTTCCACAGCAAATAACAGTGAGCCTGAAGCTGGCTGTTGTGCCATCAGCTGACCTCTGCTATGTGTCTGTTGGTCCCTCCTGTTCTCCTTTATGAAGGTCCTCTGAGAGTCTACAGGTTCTCCTTGGGAGAAACTCCACTGTAGGTTTGTAACGTTCAAGTTCCACTGACTAATGTACATATTTCCATGTTTTCCAATTTCTACAGGTTTAGTCCTTCACTTCAGTGCACTGAGTTTGGAATTTAAACAATGCTTACACTATTTCAACATGGTGT